ATTTTACTTTTAAAATCCAACGGTTTTCACTTAAATGGCTGCGAAGCAATTTGTTTAATGAAAGGTCTTTGTTAGAAAAGTGCCACCTCTGGACATTTCCAACTCTTTTGAATGTCTGATTCATATGAGGGTTAAACTGAGAGAGCTTTTTATGTAAATTGTGAATACTACTTCTTTTATGTTATTGGAATGTTTTACAAAATATTTATTTGCAATTTTCGGTGGCAAATAAAAATATAAATGGGTTTCAACTATTAACGAATTAATTGTAAAAAAATATCAATTAATAATATTAAATCATAAAGTATATTTTTAAATGTGTAAGAAATAATAATAATGTGCTACGAACAAATATTGAACTGTCGGAAATAATATGGCTATGAATAAAATTAGTGTAAATTGTATTTCTTCTTAAATCTAACAATGTTATTATTTCTATAAATATTTGTGAGAAGTAGTAGTTTATATTAACAGTATTCTTATACCTAATAACTAAGCAAAAAAGCAGCGAGAATTTTTTTATGTCAGGTCATATAAATGTCATTTTAGAGCATAGGATTGGGATTGAAAAATTTAATACAGATTTATGCTTAGTACTACTGAATATAATTTACTATAAAAAAGTAAATTTTCTACTCCGAGAGTGGTTTAGTTGTTATACCCTACATATTGTTTAGATTCCCTGCTGTGGTGGAAATAAGGATCCTGTTGTGAACCTCTCTAGCACATGCTGTTAAATCTGAATACACGACCAAAAATAATATGCACGAATTGACAAAACAAATTATAATTTATATTGTTTTTTTATGTATAATGAACTCTTAACTCTTAGAATTTACAACACCAAATTTGTAAGTTTTTGATGTTGTGAAGATCTTAATTAAAGTGTGCATCGTATTATTTTCTAGTAAGTATGACAAATAATTTCCCCTAAAAACGGCTGAATTCTTAACGAGACAAGGGCATAATTACACATCTGAGGGGGGGGGAGATCTTACTTTTCAACTTTTTTAAGCCTTCAGTTCGACTGGGGACCCTCTGAACTGCCTATTTACTTGTAATAAGTTGGCAAAAAGATAATTTGCAAACTTGTCCTAAATACGAATTCACTTAGTATGTTTCTAAAACATTAACAATTTTGCAAATTCACTACCATTCTATAGAACAATAATGACCTTAGCAATTTGTGACCTTTTATCCCGAAATATGTTTATTGAACTCAAGACTCAGTACAACAAAAGTTAATAATTATTGAAAAAAGAATACGTAATATTACGTTAAAAAATTCAGTTTAAGTTCTGCTTTAAGAATAGTCCTAGTAAAATGTCTAATATTTGTTAAAAAATTTATGATACATTTTATATATGCATGTTACTCACTTAAAGCGTGTATTTTCTAAATGAAAACAAAAACATATAACCGATTTTTCTTTTATTTCAGTAGTACCAAATGACTTTTACTTTAAAAATTATTATCTACTTCTTATAAATGTAAAACGTATTTAGTCCACCAAAACGCAACAAAAACAAAAAAAAAATCAAATAGCTTTTAAGTGTCCGTTTCGTACCAAACTGTAGCAACTAAAGTTTTTCTCGTACTGTAACACATTTTTGCTTACTTTGTTAATACAGTTGTGCTTATTTTATGTATATTGCTTTTATAAATAAAAAAGTAAAGTATTTTCGGTCCAAAAATATTTCTCACTATGAAAATTGTGTCATCATAAAATATGGGATAGTCGTCAGTTGGTTGTTTACGAATATCATACATGTTAACTACGGTCAGTTAAAACAAGCTGATTGTAATAGAAACCCTTCTTATCCGGGAGAGTGATACAAGAAAAAGGGCTGAGATAATTTCACTTAGACTTTAGGAGGGATACCAAATAGGTATTCAAACGAATTAGTACTTTTATCCTATAGTAACCCTCAAAAGAGTAAACTGTTGTTTTTCCTAATAGGTTTTCAGTAAATTTCCAAAGAGGTCTGTTTCACAAACTAAATTGGTCACAATTCTTCAGTCCCAACTGAATTGATCTGTTCCGAATAATGGCTCCCTTGCGTTCTGGGACAACAAGGAAACAAAACATCGCAATAAATCAGCAACCAGACGTTCCACTAATGCCTTTTTGGTTTATTTATAACAGTATGTACCATGATTTGAGAATATAGTGGAGAATAATGATAGTGTACTGTACAATGCTACGCTGGTTTGTGGTTTTTTTAGCTGAGGTAATGATTGATAGCCAGATATAATTTAAAATAACAGTAGTCTAAATCATACCTTGTTTTGAGGTTAGTCTCACAATTATAATACATAAAAAAAGCTACTTCGTGATCTCCAAATGAAAATGAAACAGGTCTTTGATATAGGTTTTAATAGTAGAGTACTTTTTTCAAATAATGAACAATTTATAGTTTTATAGTTTTATTTCGTATGCCTATAGTCTTTCATAGATATACTATCAAAAATTTGCACAAAGATATACATAGAGTCTACTAATTCAAAGGATTTGGCAAAGTATACGTTGTATTTTTTATCATATATAATTCCGTAGAGTTAAACCCTTTATTTGATCCTCATATTCAAAAGATTTTTGAACGTAAATATTGATTCGTTATAATTGCAAACAAAAGGATATTTTTATGGCTAAACGAATATGTTCAGTTTACAAAACGCTTCCCAGTATTTACTTTTTCGGCTAAAGGTTCATTGGAGTTGTTTTAACTAGTAGCCTTTTCCGTAAAAAACTAGCATCTCATTAAAATGTTAAAAGGATATATATATATATATATATATATATATATTTATTTATTTATTTAGTCTTACGTAGAAAGGGCAATCTATCCTTATTAAATAAATACTGAATATCAAAACCAGCAAGTCGAAATTGCTTTTATAAATTCTCTTTGTTGTGAAAAGCATTGTTTTCACGTCACCTTGTGAAGTGTTGTGGCCACAGAAAACAAAAGCTAACCCAAGCCCTGCCTTTCATTCACTTAGTTGAGCGTTAGTTAATCACACTATTAAATATTTACAACATTTCACAGTATAATTAAATATTATATGCTACATTTGTGGTTAAATGTATTAGTTATTTCTTTGCCTGAAATAAAATATACATCTAATAACACTAGTAATAATATATTTACACTTATACTGTTGAATCACAAGACGGTAAATACATACGAAAGATGGTGTGTGGTGATCGATTTCGATTGGACACTCCAATCATCATCAGACCTAATAGGCGAATATATGTCTCGCTGTTAACTTTGCTTGACTTGCTTCAATAAATAGCTTCTTGATCAGCATCGTACGTGTTATAGAATTACCTGAAAAAACTAACAAACTATACGTCTAATAACACTAGTAATAAAATATTTACACTTATACTGTTTAATGACAAAACGGTAAATACATATGAAATATTTATACATATAAAGAATTATTCGCCTATGGGTCTGATGATGATTGGAGTGTTCATTCGAAATCGATCACCGCTTAAAATTTTTCATATGTATTTACCGTCTTGTGATTCAACAGTAAGTGCAAATATACTATTACTAGTGTTATAAGACGTATAATTTGTTTTTTTTTCAGGTAATTTAAAAACACGTACGATACTGATCAAGAAGTTATTTATTTCTTTATGCAATTGTTATACACTTTTAACGGAATTAAAACATTTTAAAAGATTAAACTTTTTTTATTCGTTTTATAGAAATATACTTAAACTATTATGCTACATGGTTTAATGTATAATTAATAAATGTTTTCTGTAATCTACTTAAAAAGGTACAAGAATGAACGGAAACAATACAATAGGCTACATGTGAATATGAAATACTACGGCAGCGTTCAGCGGACATATTCGCCCCCATTCAATGGTTTCCAGCACAAAATGCTGGAAGCAATTTGTCACGGAAAGCCCTTTGTTTGATAATCTGTTACCTCCAAATGTTCGTGACCCTTTTCAAATTGTTAAATCTTAACGCTATTATGATTGCAAAGGGTATGGAAAATGTATATTTTTCAATGGTAAACGTCTTTAAATTAAGTATTCCTTATATTTTTTGTATGTTTATCCTGAACAATATTATTTCTTACACAGTATATTAACTAACCGTATAATATACAAAAAAGCAACTGTAAAATCAGTTTTTGTGAACCTTAATTATTGTTAAAACAGTTTTTAATTAATTTGAAAAGAAATGCTTAGTTTTTAAGCTAATAAAACACTCTTTTTAAAGGTTTTTAATTCGCTGACGATGGTGTAATTACTAGTAATAACTCTGGGGGAAAATATAAAAATTATAAAGGTTCCTTCCTAAATATTTTGTAAGAATGAATTTTAATGTAATCTGTCCTAATAAAATGTGTAAATTCACTTAAAATGTGAGTTAACGTTAAAATCTAAAGGATACCTAACATAGAGAGGACATTAATATTATTAATAAATTCCAATCGATATATTTTTGGATGTCCAAGATTACATAAATTGTTTTCTAGTAATTTCAACCCAGTAAAATATAATAAAAGTTAACAGATAAAGTTAACGAAATAAATAAAAAAGCAAATATAATAAAGTGTTATGATCAGAAAGACTACTCATTTTACGTTAAAAAAAATATTGAAATACGTTATAAAATTGTGGATGACAATTTCTAAGAATAATTATTTGAACATCTATAACTCTACAAACGATTAAACTGCTGAGCGCATCAAACACTCTTTTGTGAAAAACGTTTTCTCCATTCTCGAAACCAAGAACAAACAAATTTACGTAAATCCAATCCGCGTATATGTTTGCCTTGCTAGTGAGGTAAATACTAAGGGACCTCTACTCAAACAAACTCTTCTATTATTCAAGCCTCTTGCCGAAAAACGAATCGATTTGAATCAGCCGCAGCGTGGACCTGCGCACAGCGACGGTGGCGCTGCATCACCACTCTAGCGGCGGGACCGCGTACTACGCGAGGATCCATTCGTGTGTGGACAGCGTCGGGTGGCGTTACTGTGCGTTCCTCCTATCGTTTTCATTTTGATTGTAGCGGTAAGTGGTGTGACGCGTTCCTTGCTCCGTTTGACACTGACAAGTGGTTTGTGAAGTGTACATTTGTGCTATTGGATACTCTGTGTGTGCTGTTATATACTGTTCAAAAGGTAGGTTGATGCTTACAAATGTCAATGGTTTTATTATAAGTAATAAATTGAATATAAATGCTATAATATTTTAGCTGCAAAATACTTAAGAGTATGTTTATTTACTTAATAAGGTATAAAGTCACAATAGTCGTTGTATGTACTACAGTATCACGTTAAAATATTGCTTATATTTTATGTTGTTGTGAAAATAAAATAAAATTTTACTCTAAAAATTTTTCAACACCCCTAAAATAAATAGAAACTGCGATGTTCAATCTGCAATTCCTCATACATGAAGAATTTTTATAGTTAAAACTCAAAATTCTTAAAATACACAATTCAGTTCAAACATATTTTATTTTTTTCATAGCTACGGTTAGTTACAAATGAATCTCTCTCTTTGCATATATTATATAAATAAATAATTTAATTTAAAACAGTAATATAATAAAAATTATCCTAGAACCATAATTTTGTTGACCCTGTTTGATCAGATTTTTGTTAATTGACAGCTTTAGCTTTACAGTAAAAAAAAAAAAACTAATCTCTAAAGCATTGTCCATTTCATAACACGGTTTGGTGTCCAATTAAATAAACTAAAGCAAAACTAACTGTCAATTATCGTAAATGACAATAAATAACTTAAAAAACTGTTCCAATAAAAAAAAACATATTTCTAACTAGGCTTAAATTGACCATACATTACAAACACATCAATTTCATAAAGATAGAATAAATAATAAGAAAACCACATTATAAAACTTTAAATTTAAAATCAGGATTGTTCAGTTATACATGGCTAAAATAATATCGAAGTAGATTTTTTTTTCTAAATACATCTAAAATGTGACAATTAAAACTAGAACGAAGAATATTTCTTACAAACTAGTAACTTTCCATTTATACTCATAGAAAAATAAAATCTTCCCTGATACAAATTATTGTCGAGGCGCGGAGGACGCGGAAGCTTAATCAAAAGCAAACAGCCGTAACGGTGTTAACAGTTGTTGTCTGTAGCGTTGATGTAAAATGCAAACAGCGTTATTATTTCCCGTCAGCTCGGGAAGACGAATGTTGTTATACCTTGCAGAGCAACGTTGGTAATGGTAATGATTATAAGACTATTAATTGCATAGTAAGAATGTGAAATGTGGACATTTACATGGATTAAAACTGTATAAAATGTACACAAAAATCAATAAGTAAGCATAATTTTTTTACATGTTTATAAGTAGTCAGCATTTGATTACATTTATAAATATAAAAATTTTAATAATAAATTAATTAATGTTAATTTAATACTCTAAAGGCGAATAAGCAAGTATATTTTTAACAACAGTACGGCATTATTATTTATAAAGTACTTGCGAAACTTATTTCCGTATCCAACCTACACTACTACTATAAGAAGTTAGAGCGCAGGACCTCGGTCCAAGAGGTCCCGGGTTCAAATCCGACCAAATCACCAATGGATTTTTATGAAGGTGAATACCCTTATGTCTAGTCTGAAGTAATGCGAAAACAAGTTCCAGGTTCGTGCCTAGCGTCCTAGGAAAAATATATAAGGCATTTAAATAACCCCCTTATATTGGGTGGTTGATGTAGTTTAACAAATCGTTTATTAAAAATCTAAATATGTATTTGACTGTTATTTTGCTAAAAGTCTGTTTACCTATATATACAAAATATATTTAGATAAAAGTAATGTGTTTTAACTTTTTTTAACATTAAAATCTTTTGTTTTTTTGTTTGATGTTAGAAATAAAGTTAAGATTGTTTTGTTAATATTTTACTTTGTTATTTCAGTAGAATCGTCTGTGATATGAAAAATATTACGGTGTGCTGACGATTACAATTTGCTTTTGGATCTCACCAAACTTTGGTAATGAAAAAGATAATCTGTTGCTTTAGTAATGCTTTAGTGTTCATAAGTTAAATGGTAAATCTGTTCTAAGACCGGATGGACCAATTTTTATGTATAAAGCTTTATAGATTACATTAAAATTCAGTGGTTCAAAATTTAGTGGCAATGCAATGGTACATTGCTACCTTACAGGATTCATATCCTTAAGATATCGCACGCTTTTGAACTCCCGAGTCTTTTACTTTATTAGACAACCAAAATGTACAGGGTGTTCAAAAGGGTGGGGACATATTTTACTAAGTGATTCCTTGGGTCAAAATAAAGAGAAAATCAAGAATAAAATTGCTTTCCTAAATCGCTTCGTTAACCAGATATCCGCCATTTTGTATTTTTGTACAAAAACATCTTTATCTTGTAATTTCTTCAACTGATCTTTATGAAACTTGGTATGTATGTTAAGGTATAAGGGATCCATGATAGTAAAGAAAATCATCTTGATTTGACTTAAAACCTTTAAAATGGCGGTCATTTTAATTTGTTTAACTTAAATTACTCAAAACTGGCTGATTTTATAAAGAAATGTTACGTATACTTTTATTTAGCATTTTTATTTGTCTATCAAACGATACCAAATTTAAAAAGATTGAAGAAGAAGTGGCTGAAACATTAAGTTTTTATATTTTTTTTTGTAAAATGGGCTAGAAAACGGCTACAAGTCACTACTAGTAAAGGCGATAGTCAGTTTTGCCCTAGTTTACAACTAAAAGTCGTAATATTTCACCTATTTCTTGTTCCATCTTCTTGAACTTGATATCCTTTGATAGGGAACTAAAAAAAAACTAAATAAAAATATTCTAAAACTTTTTTAATAAAATCTTTTATTTTTTGTCATTTAAAATGGCCACTATTTTGGGGTTTTAAGTCGAATGAAGATGATTTGCTTTCCTAACATGGGTCTCTCTACCTTAACACACATACCAAGTTTCATAAAGATCGATTAAAAAAATTCCAGAATAAAAAGTGTATGTAAACGATACAAAATGGTGGATATCTGGTTAACGAGGCGATTTTAGAACAAATGTTATTCATGATTTTCTCTTTATTTTCACCCAAGGAGTTATTACGCGATGTAGCCATTTTTTGAGACCCTGTATAACAATAATGCATTCTGGTACTTCAACATAGTAAAATGTAAAACTTTTGTAAAAAGATATATTATCTAATGTAATAGGGATTTGTACAATGTTAGACCGATCGTTCATTTGATTTTAATTTATCGTTGTAAAATAAGTGATTATTTTTACTAAAATATTCTTAAAATGGTTGAGACATTTTTCTTAATGAGTACGCTTTTTGGTAGCGTCTCGCTACGAAGTTGAAAATAACACCGCTACAGCAAACTTACACACTAAACACATTTCCTTTTGCCTGATTGGATGTTCAATATAGTATCTCATAAAATGCCATTTTTGCTAATTTAAAAATATTAATTTGGCAAGTACTTAGGATCACTCTTACAGAAAAATACAACCTTAAGTTTTTAAAATGTTAATAGTATAGTATGAGTTGTATACTTATTCCAAATTTGATCAAAATATGTCCATAAACGTTCAATGTACAACAGTTTACTTACTATCCATAAGAGTAACTTTGAAATTTTAAATGTAAGGTTTTTTCCTCCTTAGACATTAGGTGTATAATAGTGCTTCAATAAACTTTATTATTCGTTTTTAAGCTCTACATAATAGCTTGGAAAGTTATTCCAAAAATGTTTTATTTTTGAAACCCCATATGAACTCCCTAAACGCTCCCACTGTCTGATCACGCTTGTTCGCAAACTCGTTCAAGTAAATGTAAGTTTACTTTTGTACTCCAAATTTAATCAAAATCTGATCATTTTTGCTGAAACTGAACAGAGAGTTGAAACTGAACCTCTAGGGATTTGAAAACGAAATAATAAATCGGTCCCGGTTCTAAGTCTTGAGATCCACGGTAATGGTGTATTGCCTTTACGGGAAATTCCCACCGTATAACGCGATGACCTACGTTAAGTTTAACAGTTTGAACTGAACTCGTTTACTCTTACCTAACATTTGGCAGAAAATAAGTTAAGATCCTTTGAAAAAGACAAATTGTGTATGAACAAAGCAACTAATGTTGATTGCAGTTTATTGGCACTAAAACCACTATCAGCTTTGATTTTTAAACTTGAACCCCCACAAATACCAAAACGTCTTGACTTGAATATATTTAAGTCATTATTTAGTAATATTCCCTAAATACAATTAAAAAATCAATAATTCATGTCGTGTACGTCTAATTTAGTTTATATGAGATCCATAATAGCTTATCGACTAAACAAAGACAAGTTGGTTCCTAGCAGTGTTTCAAGTCCATCCACAACTAGAGACGATCATACTTTAATGGACCTTTGTCACGATACTGTCTGTATTTGGTCGTTATATTTACGGGTACACAGGATTAAGTAGAGTTTTAAAGGGTGTGATAGAGCTGCAAAAGTATTAAAACACTTTAGTTCTTGACTTTGATAGCATTAAAAAAAAAATAATTTAGATTTTATCAGGCGAATACTTAGACAATATAATTTATCTATTTTACCGTTTAAGTTGGTAAACTTTTCAAACAATTTAGGAGTTTCATCTTCAAAGTGAATTGAAATTAAAATGGTCTTTGTACACGAGTGTAATTTAATTGACCACTTTGCATGTGAATGTTTGGAGTTACACTTGAAGCAGGATTGATTCTGGGCCTAAATACTTCAATTCTTACAAAATATAAACTTCGGATGATAAAGAGACTGGAGTGTGGACGATTCCTTTACAAAAAGTTAAAACAATAACAGCTTAAATATACATTCATGAAAAAAATCTACTTTTTTCTAGACTAATTCGAATTTCCCATGCTAGTTATGTCAACTGTCAATAATTAGACGGGGACAGTTGAACAATGTTTGGATTTCCATTATTCATATGCCTAAATAGAATAATGGTCAATTAATTCCAAAACACTTGTCACTTATAGTGCTTAAAAAGTACCTTACTTTAAATATAGACGACTCAGTTTATGTATGGATTTTATCATATACAAGTTTGATCCATAAATCTTAAGAACTAATTGTCTCTAAGATATATTC